TGTATATATATATATATATATATATAGTTATATGTATGTGCTGCTCGCCGTGACTTTGACAGTGCAGCCTAGTGTGAGTCCCTTGGGGTCACGTGTTCGATTCAGCCTAAGTGCATTTGCCTTGCAGTGTAGGATCGAGTGGTTAGACACATGAGTATGGCTGGGGGCTCGTATCATAGCCTCCGGACATTCATTCAAAAAAAAAAAAAAAGTATTGTTATATGTATGTATGCATGTATGTGATATTGAGAAGACGATGCCCAAATTCCCATAATTTCCTTCTTGGTGGGTCACTTTATGCTTCATAAAATAAAAGATTCCACTAAACGTACTGTTTCTTTAAGAGGGCTGTCCGTGTGGTGATCATATATTATTATTTTGTAATCACTGTGTGTACATGTGAGCCCATTCAACATAGCCAAATCTTCTCAATTCTTGGTTTTAGATCCCATGTTTGAGCGTGCTCTTTTATACATACAAATCTGCTTGAGAAGGGAATTCTTCGGGAATCAGTAGAATTGCATGGTAATTGTTGACCATGTGGACAGCATAATTTGGAATTGAACTCAGCCATGATTAAAAGACTACTGCTATTGCATTGTCTTCTAAACTTAGTTTTTAACTTGATGTATGGTTTAGAAGGTTTACCCTTGTTGTGGTGTCTAACACAGTTTATAATGATTTAGAAGCTCTCTGCATTGCGGCTTCCTCTTTTTCTATTTTTAACGATTCTCTCTCCCCAACTCTCCGAGTATGTGCCTTTTTTTTTGTTATGTTTGACAAATTGGATGGTGTCTTTCCCCCTAAATAATGAATTTGTGATTTCACTTGCTTTACCACATTAAGATTTTTCTCTGGATATTTTTCTAATAAAGATTTCTGCATGTGTAGAATCTTCCATGCAGGTTAAGGAGGAAACACAAACAGCAGATATTGATGAGAAACCTAATATACCTGAGTCATTATCAACAAATCTTCAAAGAGAGAGATCTAAAACTGTTGAAAGAAAAGACAAAGGGCGTTCTACGGCTCTTGATGGAGTTTCCGGAAAAGGTACCAAGCTGTCAAAAGGTTTTGCTCCTGATTCTAAGACGTCTTCTGATATGAAACAGCAAAATAGCTCATCCAGCACTAAGATACAAAAGAGAAAGCCAAAATCATTGATTGAAAAGGTGAATCTATCATCAGTTTTCTCATTTTTCTCTATGCAACTATGTCACTTGATCTGTAACGAACTCTTATGTTCATCTGTACATTGCTTTTCATCCTTTGCAGATTTCAAACTCCCAATTTCAAAGTGATTCCCAAAAAAGTGAATTTTATCAGACACAGGTATTTTACCATTTTTACCTGTTTTTATCGAAGTTTAGCATTTTGAATCTGACTGTAAACAACATCATACGACCTTTCTTTTGGAGCCATAATAATATGAACGCTTCAAGGTACATAATGATAAAGTGTTAAATATTTCGTTTCTTACATACCTGCGCATCTTTTCCCATGCTTTAATTCATTATATATATATATATATATATAACAGCCTCCACTAACGCTCGCTCGCTCGCGCTCGTCAGTCTCCTCTGCGATCGTAGTATCATCCTTTGCGCCTAGCGACACAAGACTTCAGTTTCATCGTCGTCTCCTCGTTCGCGCCCAACGACACAAGACTTCGGTTTCGTCATCGTCTCCTCCTTCGCGCTGCTTCGCACCCAATGAAGAAACCACGACGTCTTCCTGCTTCTGCGGTTTCATCGTTTCCTTCACGCCATTTCTGTGGTTCGTGTCTTCTGCCTCGTCTAGCTGCGGTTTGCTGAGATTGCCGCTACGGTTTTGACATCTACGGTTTGTATTCTGCGCAGCTTCGCCCCGACTTGTCTTTTTTTTTTCCCTCGACCCGACTTACAAGACTTTTCCTTGCTGTGATGGAGCTTCCTCCGGTTGAGCCCAATAAAACCTCTTTTGCACACATTGTGGGTATTCCTCAGAGGGAGACGGCGACTGTCTTCCTCTCAAGTTATAAGGAGAATCGTGATGGTACAGGTAACTGCCCTTTTATTAAGAATGCAAGCAGAAAGTGGTAAGACAACTCTGTTTTTCTCTGAGTCAGAAATTTCAACCTTGGCTGACAAATTTAAATTTGCTATCGTTGGGAAATTTCAGGGACACCCAGCTATGGAAGTTATGAGGAAAAGTTTTGATGACCTCGAATTAGCAGGAAAGTGGAAGGTGGGGCTCATGAAAGGTGGGGCTTATGGATGGGAGACATATTTTGATTTAGTTAACCGTGCCTGAAGACTACTCATATTTTCTCCAAAAAATACTTAACATTGCTGGTAAACCAATAAAGCTACTCAAGTGATCTCCTAATTTTGACCCCAATCATGAACCTTCTACTGTACCGGTATGGTTTAGTTTACCTGGTCTCAAGCTGCGTTTTTTTCACCATCAGGTTCTCTACTCTATTGGAGTCATCCTTAGGGATCCTTTGAAACTAGATATGCCTACTTTCAACCTAACCAGACCATCGGTGGCCAGAATACTTGTGGAAAAGGATAATATTTTACCTGATGTTACTGAAGTCTGGTTGGGCACAACCCACAAAATGGATATTGACAACAAATCGTCATGGAGCATAAACAATTTTATTGTACCCATTGTAAGATGTTTGGGCATACCCTTGACAAATGTCACTGGCTCCACCTAAACTTGAAACCTAAAGCTCAAATTCATAAGAATGTGTCTAACCCCACTATTCTGGACACATCTGCTCCACCTGTGGATAAAATTATCACAAGATAGGAGGTGGTGTCTGATTTAATTGCCCCTGGGGGGACTACCTGTGGAGGAGCCTTTGAGGCCTGCTCCTTTTCCCTTGAGGGGGATTGCTCACTTATTATACCTCATGTGGAACCTCAATTGGTAGGGGATGAAGATACATTGCCCTAGCTTCAAGCTCAAGATTCTACCCTGGGTGAGCTTTCTGCTACAGCCTTACCATCTGATCAAATCGAACAGGTTTTTAATGTCAATCAGGCAAAAGGGGATCTTGTTATGCAATAGCCTACACCTACCCGACAATTTTTGGACCAATGTACTGATCGGTTGAGTCATTCTTCGGATGAGAATTGACAAGGTTACACATATAGGAAGAAGAAGAAGAAGAAGAATAAAGGTCTACTAGAGCTCAAGAACTTAATAGATGATACCTTGGCCAAATTGAGTTGTTTTCTAGTCACCTGATACTATATATTTCAACACTGTTATGCTATTTATTTTAGTATCTAATGTATTTTCTGTTTTTTTCTAGTATTAAAATATTTTGTGCTTTTTTGTGTGAACAGGGTGCCATGCTTGGGCCCTACCACACATTGTATCTGTATATTTTTTTTCTATTTAATATATTAGCATTTTTTGGGCTTTAAAAAAAAATATATATGTATATGTATATACATACGTGTATATATATATATATATATATATATTGTCATCTCATCCTTTGCACCCAACGACACAAGGCTTCGGTTTCGTCGTCGTCTCCTTCGCGCCCAACGACACAACGCTTGGTTTCGTCATCGTCTCCTCCTTCGCGCTGCTTCGCGCCCAACGACACAACGCTTGGTTTCGTCATCGTCTCCTCCTTCGCGCTGCTTCGCGCCCAACGACACAACGCTTGGTTTCGTCATCGTCTCCTCCTTCGCGCTGCTTCGCGCCCAGCGATGAAACCCCGGCGTCTTCCTGCTTCTGCAGGTTCATCGTTTCCTCCACGCCATTTCTGTGGTTCGTGTCTTTGGCCTCGTCCAGCTGCGGTTTGCTGAGATTGCCGCTATGGTTTCGACATCTGTGGTTTGTCATCTGCACAGCTTCGCCCCGGCTCATCTATATATGTGTGTGTATATATATATATATATATACATA